GCAGGAAGAATCTCGCTGCTCCTGCAACCGAGTTTTCCGCTCGCTTCCTGCTCCTCCCGGGCAGCGGATGGTCGCGTTGAACGGAATTTTTTTCCCACACTTTACGATTTTGCGCTGATAGGTTTTTCTTTCCCCTCTCCCCCACTCCTTCTCTCTCTCTCTTTCTTTATTACCGCGATATTGTATTCTCTAGAATCATTAACCGCAGTTTGTCATACGATCTACACGATCATACCGGCAACTGGCTTTTTTTCTTTATTATACTTTACGGTAATCCTTTGGGGATAGGATATCCCAGAGGACAATAGACTCTAATCCGCTCTAATCTGTTCTCTTATCTGGACTTTCTCTTGACGATCGCGACAAACAAGTGCGTCCAAAAGTCTCGCAGCGTGCGCGATTTATGGAATTTCTATCGCACACATTGCCTCGTTATTCTCCATCGCGCTACATTTTTGTGCAATCGTGCATCACCACCCATTTCGGAGGACTTTCTTCTTTCTTTTTTTTTTGTTTTTGATTACATAAGACGTTGTACACGCAGAGAGAAATGTTCCCGCGACGCACAGTGGGATGTTTGTAGCAAAAAGTTGGTCAAAATTATGTTTTGACGAATTTCGGCTTAAAACATGCTACTAATTATATATATATACATATAATCATTATAAAGATTTCGTGTAAGTTTGTCATGAAATAAAGTGAAAATATATATGTGAAAATATTTTAATAATTAAGAAAGCATAATATTATGCATCAATAAGTATTCAACTAGACAAACTCCAAATTTCTTCATCATAATGAGTGTATTCCATTCTCAGAATCAACATCATCTTCATCTATTGAAATATCTTCTCTTCTTGGCGTAGGGTCAGTGTGTATGTATGTGTGTGTGTGTGTGTGTGTGTGTGTGAGAAGAAGCATATCCAATGTTTCCTCTAAAAATGGTTTAGATTTCTTTCTTGGTACGGGTCTCATATTTGTTAGTAACGGGGCAAAACTTGATAAAAGTCTATTGATTATGTCCATATTACAAAAGGAAACAAAGAAAAAACAAAAAGAAACGAGAGGAAACTTCATGTCTAAATAACCTTTGGACAAAACCGTCTTTTATGTTTAGGGAAACAAAAGTAATTACTAAAACTACATCCGCGGTTTTCCGCGGCTAATTCTTTCTGATATTTTATCCGGACAGACTGCTCTTTCATTTCATCCAAGAAACGTAACAGGGATAGACCCTAAGGTATAACTAAACCCTTCAAGTTTGACATTGAGAACGCAAAGTGATACATTATTGAATGCTTTTTTCAAAATCGTATATCTACGTGAATAACAATTCAATTGTAATAAATATAGTCTAAAACGTTTCTTCATACCTTTCTCGAAAGAATCCAAAACAAAGAATGTTATCGCGGACGAACAAAAGCATAGCGGCCCATTATTCTGACAGATATTCGACTGTCTAAGATAGTCACTCATGCAGAGCAAGAATGATTTTAACCTTTAGAGGACCGGCATTTTTCCTTTAAAATTTGCAATTTTTTCGCGGAAAATTTATATATATGTATATATGTAACCATCACGTCGCGTAGAGTTTTCGAGTTTATTAGTGGCTCCTATAGGAGCCACCTCAGTCCGGAACGGAACGGCCAAAATAAAAAATTTTCAAAACTTGGATCTTGGCATCTTTAGGGGTTTTTTTTTTTTATATCGCTGATCATTATTTTGATATCAGATTATCGAACTTTTACAAAGAAAAGCAATTATTTACCTAAAATTAGTCTATATTACTATAAGTAATCTCATACGATAATAAAACTTTCCTTTAGCATAATTCAGAGCTAACGACGTGAACGTAAAAAGTTATGTAGCTCCTTTGTTTTCTTTTTATATTTTTCGTTATTTTAAAATTTAAGAAATGTTTTAATTTTTTTATAATTCTTTAAATTTTGGTTTTAAAAAATAATGAAAATTATTATATTTCAAAAACTATTTTTCTATATTTTTCATACTTATTTGTTACTTTCGGAGTGATTGTTACCACGCACTGTGCGCAATCGAAACTCTAATAGTATTGTGTGCTGATTTTATATAATTCTGAGAGAAAGTGGGCCTATTGTAAATAAAAACGTACTGAAATGCAAATTACTATGCAGTTAAAATGTGTACTTGTTGATAAATGTTTATTCACAAGTAAGGTAAAAATCACACGAACACATATGCAAATATATTTTTAGAGCACATAAACATTCGACATGAATGCATAAATAACTATAATATAACCTTAAAAAAAACACTGAATGCCGATGTATATGTGGCTTCTATAGGAGCCACCCCGGTCCTCTTAAAGGTTAAGAAAATTGACTTTTGGCCAGCTTTTCAGGCCGAACATCGCACAGTGCGGCGGCCGGCCGGTCGCGCGCTCGAGCGCGATTCCTCCGTGCGCAAAAATGACTCGCGCGCGTCGGCCAGCGCGAGACGGAGAATCGCTGGAGTCTACGGC